GGGGTGGCTGCCCGCGCCCATGCGCTTCGTTCCTGACGCGCCGGTGGAGAGTGAGGCCTCTTCTCCCTAAGGTTACGGCCAAGGTAATTAGGAAGGAATTGAAGATAGACAGGAAGGCTGTTTCTCATTAAGTTCATCTCATTCACCCTGATTTCTGTCAAAAGCGGTCATTCTCCAAACCAGACACGCAGGAAAGTAATTCTGTTTGTCTTTTTTTGTGGGCTTGCACATTGCTCTCAGCGCTGGCTTTTTCACCAGGATCATGTCAGTCTTTTTCCATCGCTGTTTCCCAGGATAGCGTGCCCCTGCCTGAAGAATGACTTTGCTTCTTTGTTTCCTAATGGATGACCTAACATATTAAAACAAATCTCTTTTACTTGCTCTCAGCACTGCTTTAGAGTCAAGAGCTGATTCCCAGAGGACCCCTCCAGAGATGCACTAACCACACGATGAATCTTCTATTATAATTATATTTTGGGAACAGCAGACAGTTTCTGATTCATTTAATACGTACCATGTTGCATTTGTTCCAAATCAAATACCTAAGAGAAGCTTCTTTCCTTAAAAGTACTGCTGTTATCAAATACTGACTTAATTACAATTCTATCAAAAAAATACATCAAGTTAGCTTGACAGAATCTCTTTTTCGTAATCCCCTGCTGACTGGCATTATTTCCTCCCTTCAGTTCATGGTTAATCAAGTCAAATATCAGCTGTTACATCAGTTTCCCAAGACCGACATCAGGCTGACAGGCCTATCGCTACCTAGAGCTCCCCACCAGCACATCCGCTTTTTGCTCATCGTCTGGAACGTTCTCAGCCTTCCAACACTGACTGGAAATTAACATTTAACCTCTCCTCTGGTTCAAGTTACCTGCATTTTGTTGTTTTAATGTTTCTGACTTTGGTACTTGCTGGCACCTCTGTTAGTGCCTGCTGGCGCGGGAAGCGGTTCATCACCCTGTTGTTCTTATTCCTGCTTCTGCAGGTCGCCGTTTTCCATAGCTCTCGTTCTTTGTTTATAAAGCTCACACAAGGTGAGGCCAGTAGCTGCTACTACTCACTATCATCGCTTTCCTATTTCCTCCGATTGTTATGTACCGCTTTCGTAGTTTTTATAGCCGCCTTCACTTCCCAAAAGCCAAGCCAAGGTGACCGTCTTCCCACTTGGGACATTGCATTTTCTGTTAGCCTGAGAGGTGCCAGTAACCGGTAACGGTGGCTCTCAGAGACCGTGGAGAAGCACCGCGCGTGCCTGGGCCAGGCGGAGCGCGGCCCGCAGGCACAGCCAAAGCTTTCCGTGCCCGTCTCGGCGTCGGACCTGCTCTGCCAGGGTCCGCAGGGTTTCACGACTGCGAGCGCAGCAGCTCTCAGTGCCTTTAGGAAACAATTTGACATCAGAAGTGCAGCAACGTGCTAGAATGAGATAATGGTGCTTTGGGGGAAGCGGGTGGGCAGTAGAGGGAAGAAGCTTGTCACCAGCTTGCAGCAGCTCGCCGGCGCACTTGGGCTTTGGGAACACAGTTTTTGCAAAGTGCGTTCTTCTCTTGGCGTTTCTGCTAGCGTATCCGCTTGTTTCTTCCACAGCCTGCCATCATCTCCGCAGCGGAGGAAAGGGAAGGCTGCTTTAGCGTCATCCTACCTGGGGAAGGGGCGCACCGAGCAGGAGCTGCTCACAAGCTCCATAGGGAGCTCTAAGAGGAGGACAGGTGGGTTTGGGCTCAGCTTCCTCGAGGGGCCCCAGGGGAGACCTCGCCGCGTGGCCGTGCAGCGAGGGGGCCCGCGGCCGCGGGCCCAGACGGGACCTGGCCGGGTAGGACACTCACAGCACCCTCAGCTACGCAGCCATGGAGAAGTAAAACTAGAAATTAGGAAACTCATGAGGAACTAACCAGCTCCCAGAAGAAGTAGAGAAACCCTTTTTTTTAAAAAAAAAATAAATTATTTTCACTAACATATGTCCAGAAAACAGCAAAATTAGGAGTCATTTTGAACCAAAGCATGAGTAATCTGACAAAAACTGTATATTCATGAGATTTTTTTTGTGTTTTCAAACCTGTGTTCAACTTTTTCCCCCAAAATACTTCAAACAAACTCTCTGAGCAGCTGCGTACGGCCCAGCAGTGACCCAGGCCCACGACGAGGCGCAAAGGTGTGCGCTCTGCTTCCGGAGCCGGGCTCCCTGCCGGCCGTCTGGGTTCGGGCACCAGGCTTTCGCTTACGCGCGATGACGTCAAACACCCTCCTCAAGCCCCTCTCTTCTAAGGATCAAAAAATGCATCACAGTTATTGACGTATTCTTTCCCCAATGTGCGAAATCAGTTTGTATCTCCGTTTACAAATGAAGAAATGAATGCGGAGAAGGGACTTTTTCCTGTCGCTGCAAAACAATGACGTGTCCAGCGATTTACCAATGGTGCACAGGAAGTCGTACGAAATCCAGTAACGGTGCTCGGCTCGTAGGAAACCCAGCCCTGCGCCTCAATATGTCTCATGTAAATAATAATACATCCTAGGACTAATCAAGACTAATCAAGATGGGAAATGTTTGGTGATCCAGATAATCTCAGGTGAAGGCTGGGACAGTTCATTTGAGTATATTGTAGTACTATTATTATAAAATACGATAATTGCAGGCCCAGACTGGGTCAATGTAATTGCACAGGGCAGTTTTCTTCAATACTTAAAAAATATTCTGTGTTCAGTTTGCCACTGTGCTTCCTCCATATCAAATTATTGAAAGACGAATATGATTTCAAAATCATTTTGGAGATCATTGGGTTTGATCTTTTGCATTTTTTTGTTTCATTTTTTATTATGTAAAGACAGGCACAGGAAAAACCTCGTTGCAGCTAATAAAGGCATAATGAGCAAAACAATTAAATATACAAAAATGAAAACAATGGGAAAGAATGTAAATCACACCTAACAAACAGTATGGTAAAAAGTACAGTTCAATCATGTCCAACCCACTGGGAAACAAATATTTAATTGTACAATAAATAACACATGTTTGTTTTAAGAGGGGCCCGTTTCAAACTATATCTCCCAAGCCACGTGCCTATAAACACGCGTGCAAATCTGCTTGCACAGAGGCCAGCGCTCGCCAGCGTTTTGTCACTCCAAGTGGAAAACAAACAAACCAAAAAGGGAGATGAAAGAAATCAGGCTTTGGCCCTGTTAACAAAGAATTTTGGTTGGTTTTCAGAGGAACGGGAGTCGCGAAGGAGCCGGGGGCTCCGGGGGCAGCGCGCCGGCCGGGCCGGGGCTTGAGCCGAGCCGAGCCGAGCTGCCCGGCCGCCTCCGCGCAGGAGGCCGTGGCAGGACGCTCTGTGCGTTTAGCTTACAAATGGAGAGCTCACAAGTCGTGTAATATTTTTAACAGTAAAGGAAATTGCTTCCGATCATCTGTGTCTCCTCTGCGCGCTGCAGGGACGTGTCCTCGGTAAGCGTTGCCAAGAAGGTAAACGTGCTGCAACGAAGGAAGTTTTCTACTGAAAGGTGAGAAGGTAGATCTGCTTTCTGCACCCGGTCCCTGGGGGCTAAATTTGCCGAGATGTACATGTGCACGGGGACGTTTCAGGGAATGACCTTGAAGGGACAAAATCCCTGCCTGTAGAAAGAGGGCGATGACGAGGATGGTTCGTTCTCGCTGCTTTGCAGCTGCACACCTCGCGCGCAGCCTCCTTGCCCTGCTGCTCTTCAAGGAGCACAAGGACGCCTCTGTGCACATTTATAAGCACGGGCAGGTTTTGTGGCATGGGGTTATGTTTATATGCTGGTACAGTAAAAATGGGTCAGGTAAGCTGCCGCGGCTCAGCCGGGCTTCAGGGTGAGGCAAGTGCAAAGCCCACGTTCATGGTGCGTGAGCGCAGGAGGCCCCGCACGGTGCCCGCTGCGACTGCGACCCGCGGGAGACGGCACGACGGGCGCGCGCGAGTGAGCGAGCCACCTCCAATTTCCCCGAGCTCGGGGAAGACAATGTGCAAAATAACGCCAAAGTCACGTGCAACGAATACAAGTGTAAAACTGCTCCTCTCTGTGTCTCAGATACTATCACTAACATCACGTCTCTCCTGGTCCTGACATGGCAAACGTCTGTTAATCCTTCAACTGCTTCTAATTCCTTTGATATTGGATTTTTTTTAATGGTAGAGATCTCCTGCTGGGATGAAAGTCCTGCTTCTTGTATTATCTACGTTCTAGTCCAGATTTTCCTGAAGACTTGGTAGATGGCCATGACCATCCAGCTATGCAAACATATCCATCTACTTAAAATGTTTGTAAGTTCATTTTCATCCATAAAGCGGCACCATCAGTTCTTATTCGTCTCCATAGAGAGCTTTGAGGTACAAAAAAATATAACACCACATAACTAGATGTTATTATTTTTATTGATTCTTACGCTTTCCCACAATGACTTTAATAAGATCTGATATTTACTACTACATCCCACCCCACAGTGATGTTATGTCACAGTGCTATCTCACTTTGCAGGCAAAACATACTCCTCTGGAGGTGTTTTAAAGCTCCTCAAATGTAGGAACACGTCTGACTTGCTTTCTCACTAAAATATCAGACCTGTATCAGCCTGGCTTTAAGGACGTTAATGACAGGGAGAAGGAAAGCTGCACGCCTCTAATCCTTCCAGGGTGTACAGGCAGCTCAGAAGAAGCCGCCTCCTTTTAGCAGGACAAAATGTCTTTTATTTTAAACATCTGATCCCCTCGTCTGTGCGTGGCTGGTTGGTTGCTGGAGGAACACGGAGCTGGCACGTTTTCCTGCAGAACCACTTGTCATCTTGGTTCTTAAATTCATTAACTTAAGAAAACAAAATGCAAATCTGTTTCCTGGCTCTTGTTCTCTGTTCTTGTAACTTATCCTGGCTGCAACTTCTCTTTTTCTCTTCCTCTTAATTCTTCGACCCGCTGAGTTGCCCTTTCACAACTGCCTGCTAGACACCAAAATGGCTGAAGCTCCAAACATCATCTTCCTTCTCCATTTTATGCAGCTTTCCAGGTTTTTGTACTGAGAGAAGAAACAGAAAATTTCAATCCCTGGATTTGCAGAGAAGGGTCAAAATTAAGGGCTACACCCAGAACTAAAAAACCCCCAAACGGAAAAAATCGAGTTTGCATGGTGTTGTGTCTGCGGAGAGGTATGTAGGACCAACGTTTGCAGCGCCTGGCTCTAACCCATGCAGATCTCCCCAGAGCTCTGCAGAGGCAGCACGTGATTCGGGCAGAAGGAGTGGGGAGGCTCAGATCCAGGTTTTGAATCCCACCCTACCAAAGCAAGCCGCTTTGTCTGGATTTCTGGGCAAAGTCAATGTATATAGTGGGGATTTCCACAGGATTTTGGAGATAGCGTGAACTACATTTTAGACTATTTCTATTCAGGAAAGGCAGCGGCCTTGCTATAATCATGAAAATAAAAATTATTTCCACTGAAGCTAGCAGTGATAAATTGATGTAAAACTAGCATCAGGGTAGAACTGTGCGTAAGGGATGGCCAGAGGGTCCCCGGCAGCCAAGGGAAAGGAAAAACTTGTTCCACGTTCCTCAAGGGGAGACACAGAAAATATGGCATGGCAAGGTCTGAGACAGCTGAGCAGGACCCGGAGGAAATTCATATTTATACAGGGAAAGCGAGCACTTACATCCATCTTACAGGTCATACTAGGGCTAATGCACAGCAGACATCTCTGGAAATCCTCCAGAAAGGAAACTGGAGTTTGGTTTGGGAACTTTTGGTTCTAATTCCTGGAAACGCCGTTTTAGATCAATTTCACAGTGGTTTGAAACTTTTTCCAGTGGTTATACAAATTTGGGGAAAACATTCCTCTAGCTGGAATTGTCTTCTGATAGTATAACTTCATTTAAGTGGACTGGGGTTTTGTATGGCTTCGAAACCATCTCAGAAGGAGCCTGCAAGAAGTAGTCGCGTCTGTGTTGTGCTCCTAAGTAACTCGAAGTTAAGCAGAGCAATTGCTAGGTGCCGTTTATTCATTGCGTGCCTGTGTTTTATTGCAGCCTGCTGTTGTATTTTGACATGCAAAGTGGGCCCACAACTTCTGTTGGATTGGGTTTTGACCTAGCTAAAACCCACCCAGTTTGCCCTGCTCTTTGTTGGATCAGCTCTCTGACCCGCATGAGCCAGGCAAACCTAAGAGGCAGCAGAAGACAGAGCAGCACAGAGGCTTAAATGCTAAATGGGGAGAAAAATTAACTAAACAATGTGTGAATACTCTTCTGTCTGTTGGGTTTGCAGAGATTCGGTGCTCAGGTGCTCTGTGTTACCTCCTCACCTTCCCACAGTGCCTGGCAGAGCCAGGTGCGGGTGTTCAGCCTGAGCAGGCACTGGGGAGCTGGGGCTGGGGGGAGCCCTGTGGTGCTGAGGGGTGTCCTGCCAGGGGCTGGAGGGGCTGTGTTTCTGATGTGCAGTGGTGCATCTGGGACGTTTTCAGCTGCTGTGGAAGCTCATCTCCAGCTCCTGGACTGTCTCAGGTACTGGTATCCTGGGGGGAACAGGCATTTAATGCAGGTGGTGGCCAAAGTCTTCCTGCTCTGGTTGTGGGATCCATGCAGGGGATGTGGCTCTGCTACAGGAGCTAATCTGGGTTCATCTTTTTGGTATGTACTTGGGAGAAAGGTTGCTGTTGTTGCAGACAGAGAGGCTCAGAGAGTTGGGCTCTGCAGTGCAGCACCAGTGGCCGAGCCCTTTTGGCGGCTGAGGGCTCAGCCCTACTAGGAGCTCTGAGTAACCAGCTGCCCTTAAGCATCCTCTCTGCTTGTCCTAGGTTGCCTCTGCTGAACTGAGTGGCCAAGTATTAGTAGACCTTAAAGCTTAAGTCTAAAAGAGTCACCTAAATTTTAGCATTCTCAGTTCTGAGTTGCCTTCCTCAGCTATTGATTCCCAGTCTACCTTACAAAGCTTGGGACGCACATTATATTTCTGATGCACAGTTAGCACAGTGCTGCTGCACGTAGGTATCCTACGAGCTAGCTGCTCCTCTGCATAACCTTGATGTTATTAGATCCCGGTACCCTTCAGGGGCCCAGGCATGATTCTCATGTTCAGCCTCAGAAAGCTGAAATGGTCTTCTGGAGGGAAAGCCTGCCAAGGAACACAGGGCAGTGGGTCTCCTCCAAGCCAGGGAGTTTTTGAAAGCTTTGCACAAATAGCAGAAGCTGGAAATTGCTTTATGAATTTCATACAATATTCATTTCCTTACCCTAGCTCTACAGCCTGTGGTTCATTTGGCGCAACTGGGTTCTCAGGGCCACGGTTCCCATTGTATCGGATGCCTGGGCTGCGTTAACTCTGATTTTTTTCTCTGTTAATCTAATGACTTTTAAGGGTGTCACTTACAAAAAAGAATTAAGGAATGTAATACGTTTCTTGGCACAGATCCGCGTAACAGTTCAAAGGGAATATGTGGGATGTATATGGTGGAAGGATTTCAATTTCCAGCCTTTGGTAAGACTCCCGTTACATTAGGTGTAAGAAAGGTAGGCTGCACCTCTGCTCCTGAGTATGTCCGTCTTTGGATGTTTATTGCTATTATTCATTGTCAGGATGGGCATAAATAAGCCAGTGTGTGGAAGGACAATGAACTCCTAGACCCTCGCTCATCAGGACCTTTGCTCCCTCTCCCACCCTGTTCTCTTGTGTGAAGATCCATGGAAGTGTTTTTCCACAGAGCATTAGGAGACTGAAGCTCCTAACGGCTATAGGCTGATGTTTTGTATTTGTAGAGGAAATGAATGGCAGCTGCTTGGCTGGTCTTTAGATGAGCTTTCTTATTTCCTGAAAAAATGAGAGGAAGAATAGACAGACATAACTCTCTGGCCTTTCACGAGAACCAAACTTTGTCATATCTATAATTAACTCTCTTATTTAAATACTTCTTCCATGAACCTCCTCGAAGGTTTCATAGCCCTTGATTCATTTATTATTTTTCCATTTCAGCTTCCTCCTCTGCTACAGTAATTTACAGGGGCATGACTAATTTCACTTTTTTATTTCCTTGTGAATTCATTCTTATCCTGTCTTTGTGTATTTAGCTGTAACTTGGGCAGCCTGGTTAATGCCTTATCTCTGCCGAAATGCACCTGACTGATAGTCCTTTATTTTCCTCTAGGAAAAGATTCCCAGAGAATTTAGAACAATGCTGTTTTCTTTCTTTGGGAAGACTTTTCCTCACTGGGACACATTCCCGTATTTCAACCTGGCTGTCAGTTTAATCCTTACCCTTCAGGTCTAAGCTAATTGCTGCAGAGCCCACAGTGATCGAGGCTGGCATCATCCTAAGGTGCTCCTGGCACGCTACGGGCAGTGCTGGAGCTGGGCACAGGGCCTGCTGGTCCATCGTGGTGCGCAGTTCTGCATGACCAGGGCTTTCTGCTGATGGTGGTACATACAGCTCAGTTTGAGGGGCTACAGCTGTGACAGTCAGGGCCCATTGAACATGCTGCTCTAATCCTCTTTTATTCTTGGAGGATTTTATCTGCGACACGTTAAGAAGTTGTAAGAGAACTGGAACACTCTCAAGACCGAGATCTGTGGCGTTGATTAGGGGAGCAGTGTAATTGCCTTAGATCACGTGGAGGATTTTCTGTTTTTATGTGTGTATCCTCTCTTCCTAAGAGGTTCATCCAAAAAAAAAAACCCAAGCATGAAACTCTTCTTGTTTTCATATCATTTGTTGTTTTTATCTGCAAGAAGTTCCCTTCAGGGCCTGCAGTGACATGTCCTTTGTTACTTCTCCAGCAGCTGCAAGGAGGGTGGATTTTTTTTTTTCCTTTTTTTTTGGTGCTTGCTAAATAACCACCGTTTTGTTCCACAGAGGTCCTGCACAGATGAGACCTGGATGGGAAAAGAGCTAGTAAAGCTGCTGGGCAGCACAGCAAAAAACAGGGACAAGGGGCATCTTTCTCTCCAGGATGAGATACGACTCCGGCCATGTGCAAGGAAACTATGAGTCTTCAGTGCAATTAACCCTCCCTTTGCCTAGAAGGTAATGATCTATACAAACAGACACATGTGTACAGTGAAGTCCCTTTTCTGTGTATTCTTTCTGATACGTTGAGTTGTTAAATGTGCTAAATGCCTCTAGACATACTGGTTTCCTCACCCAATAATTTCTTACACAAGCCTTTGTACTTCAGAACAAATGTCACGTCTCGAGAGATTATGACCGCACAGTCACTGTCTTCACGATTTGTAGCACAGTCTAAACTATGCTGCAGATAACCACATAATAATGCATTGCTTTGTTATGTCTTGTACATGTATGCGTAGTGTCATTAACATTTACAGTATGAATGGCGTTTTAAAATGAGACTAGAAAAGGAGTCATTGTGACTTGAATCAAACAGTGATTTGTGCTACTGGGTAACTAAGCCTCTGGAATCTCGTGATTAAGGCTTTACTCTTTAAAATAATGTTTCTTTTTGTAAGTTATTTTATGTCCAATTTCTGGGTAGGACAATGTAACCGTAGACCTGAGCATGATTAAATATATAAAAAAACCAAACAAACCAAAAATCCCCAAACCAGTTCAATCTTCCACGGTACTTAAGCATAAGGATCTCATGGTGCTTTTAATCATCAGTCATCATTATCACCATCATCACCACCAAAGTAAGAGAACAAAGGACATTTTGGCTGTAGAAGCCAGTGTCCTGGCTCCAGTGCATCATCCTGGAAACAAAAAGTCAAAGCATAATATCAGACTAGAAAAAGCCAAGGGGATTCAAGAGTATCCTGTGCTCCTGGGAGGCGCCTGATAGCAGGCCGCTTTTTGAGGTCACAAACTTGTAATGGCAGAGGAGGTCAGCAGTCAGGGCAGATGTCTGTCTGTGGAGCAAAGTATCCTACATGAACGAAGTAGTAAAAATGTAAGCGCCGTCTCATTAAACATTGTTTCCGTTCCAGAAATATTGACAATGGGCATCTTAAAAAACACATATGAAAACAAAACAAAAAATACCCTCCAAATCCAAAATGATGTTATGCAGCATTGGTATTGACTGCAAGCTAGTAAACACACTTTGCACACGGTATATGACATCTCTAAAGCACAGGGTAAGACAGTGAATGCTAGGGAAGGACTGTAGCAGTGGTGAGCAGGGAAAGTGCTGAACATACTTGTTCCATCCTCCTTTCAAACGTGTATGTAGCTTTATTTCTGCACCTGCGTCTCACTTCAAGCAGATCTGTGTTCTAATCTTGCTTTTTAACGTAGAAGATGCTGCGGTAGAAAATGGGTTTATTTGGTCATAACCTAGTGATCTAATCAGTGATCACAAAAGTGATCTATGGTTTATGACATGAACCAATACAGATACTTTCAGACTGGCTGCAGGCAGGTAAGACTGCGTTAGAAAAACAGCTCTGCTAAAAGCAAAAGACTGCAGATGTATATGTTTGATTCAAGTGGCCCTGTGCCAAAGGTTAGTATTTCTGCACTGGCAGCACTCATGATAAGAAAAGGGAAAAACTGCATAAAACAATAACACCAAAAACAAAAGTAAAACACCCTTCCTTCATCTCAGCTCCCCAAAAGCAGAGTAGCAGCCTGAGCTACAACCTGAATGCAGGAAGATAAGCTAGGGGTGAAGGTCATTAGCAGGGATCCAAAGGGAGGCTGAAGTTATCTGGCAGTTGTTATTGCAGCCTGTGAAAACAGGTAAGTGCTGAGCTGGAGAGGGACACGACACTAACTTAAGGGAACGCAGGGTGCTAGCTGGGTTCCTTCATCACAGGAGGCTACATCAACAGGAAAAGGCTAAATTAAGTGGGACGTACCCAGAGTCTTCTGTCTAAACTATTTAAAGAAGGTCACGATCATGTAAAAATTCTGATGGCTGCAAGATGCTAAAGAGACTAAACTCTCTCACTGACACTGGGGAAGGGGGAAGCAAATGGCACTTGGAAAATCGGGACAGAAATCAACAGTTAGGAAAAGTGCCATCCCCCTGCAGCAAGTTTTATTACTCCCAGTGCAAAAGGACTGTCCTAGCTAGCAAAATATCATTTTCTACTGAGGTCAGTTGCAAGGACAAGGATATACAAGGCTTCTGAGTCTTAGTTCGTTTCCTGCCTCTCCAAGGAGGGCTGGATGTGCCTCTTTCTAGAGTTCATTAATACTAGTTTTCACTATCTAAATTTCATGCACATAGAGAGGGGTGTGAGTGGACGTAAAATGTGTGCGTAGCCTAATCCTGGAGTACTGAAGGATTTTTAAAACAAGGAATCAAGGCAAACAAACCTTCAAGCACCATAAACTTTCAAACCCGTGACCATTCCTGTGCTTGTTCTGGAAGTACTCTGCTGCTTCACTTGAAGCTGCATGTTGTTCTATTTGACCTGACACCTGCCAGGAAGATGAAAGAAAATGGTGCTATACTGTTTTCAAGATAGCTCCTCTCAGATATGACTTTTTTTTTTTTTTTTTAATCTTAGATTCCTGCTCTTCTCCCAGTTTTTCCGGATGGGTGTGGAAGAGGCACGCAATAGGGAAGTGGCTTGGCAAAGATGAAGCTGTAAGTAGCTGGCATGCCCAGGGCATATAAAGTTGCTGGGTTTGAAGATAATTGACTGTTGCAGAGCAAAAACAGTAGAAGACGCCAGTTAGTCAAAGACAGACAGACAGATGACAGGATGGTAGCAGCTATAGTTATAGTAATAGGCGCTCTGCAGGGGACAATAAATGATTGCCTAAGGCACAAACAACAAATATAGAAGCTTGGAAGGAAATGGACGTTGAGGTCATTTCTGCTACAAGGAGGACACTGCAAACTGACTAATATTATTTCCCATTGATATTTGCATTCAAAAAGGAACCAGCTACCAAAAACAATTAGCAAAACTGTGGTGTCTACAAAGTAAGACTGAGCATGCAGTGCTGGCTCTTGTGTCAGGCCTGCACCTGATGCTCTTTTGATCCCGAGACTCTTCTAGATCCTGAATCCCAAGAAGACTGGGTAGCACAAGAGGCTAGTGGCCGGTTTTGCAAAGATTTCTGATCTGCTTTAAATCTATTGGAAGTTAACATTTGTAAGCTAGGAGCCTAAGCGGTTTTGCAGATTGGGATCAGGGACCTCAGTCCTATTTGCTTCTTACTTCTGGCCACTGTGCAGAGGCTCATGTACTTCAATCAATGTGTTCTCCGCAGAGACCTACGTTCAGGGTTGTTGTGGGCACCCATGCAAATCTGCCTGAAGGCCAGGAGGGGGACTGCAAGGACAAAAGAAGACATAAGCTGAAAAAGGAAAAGAGGAATCGAGGAGAAATTCCCTTGATGATAGTGGAAAGTCATGGATGCTACTGCAGGAGGTGTGACTCGGACATCGTTCCATGGCAAAAAAAATATGTAAAATCATATTAATCATGTTTGTTATATGTAAAACACACTAGCATTCAGTAGCGGGAGCGCTCTTTATCATGCTGAAGGTGTCTCTTAAGACTGTTTGCTGCAGCCACATGGAAAAGATCTATCAGACAAAAATACACCCAAAGCATGTTTCCAGGATGACATGACTGCATTGGAGAAGAAGGGGGAGCTCTAAGAATGTCTGCTTCAGAGTGTAGTATTCATAACTAACAAAAAGTCCAGACCCAACGATCTGATCCCTCAAAAGGTTGTCAGTACAATAGGTCAATACATGCCCTTTGGTTTATAACAGGGAATTCATACAGATTCATTGCAAAGGTCTAATGTATTATTTGTAACTTTTTTTTTCATATACAATGCTTCCTCTGTGCCCAGCTCAAAAAAAATCCGTGAGAGCAAGAGAGACATGGGTGATATGTAGTCACATAATAAACGGACCTTGAACACTGCTGCTTGAGGGCAATTCCAAGAAACTTCTCATGTGGCTCCTGGTTTCTAATAGTCAAAATGCCTACTGTATTCTCCTGGGTTTTAAATAAATGTTTGCGTGTCCCACTCTGTTAGCTTTGGGATCTAATTAATGGGTGGTTTTACCACCTTCGTTCTCTCTGTTTCTCTGGCCCCTCTATGGCACTGGTCCTTATTTCCACAAACAGCGGAAACTACAGGCTTAGGCTGGTGAACGTCAGCAGTCTGAAGATAGCCTCCAAACTCACTGATGCAAGATACCTGGAAGGTGACTGGGTTTAACATCTCCTGACAGACAGTGTAGTAATTGTACGCGGATGCATGCACTGTAACACGGGCCTCGTTGCCTCCCCGAGGCCTGTCTCTGCATCTGTCTGGGTTGCTCTACAGCAGAGATGGGCCTGTGAGATGCAGTGAGCTGACAGCAGCTCTGTGCCATTGAAAGGGGAACGGGCCACTGCCCCATCCCCTCCCTGCTCCTGCTGTCCCTGTGGGTCTTGTGCCAGCTCTGGTGCTGTCAACCCTTCTGGGACCTCACTTATCCCGCTTAACTGGCAGAAAATTTCTCCAGAAAAGGAGAAGTGGTTGATTTCTACCATGTTAATAGCTGATTTTCTTTCAAAGAAGGTCCTGTAAACACTACAGGAAGCACAAGGAAGGGGGCAGGAAAATGCTGCTTGTGGTGGGTCAGCAAAAGGGAAGCAGGGGAGAGGTCATGTGCTCAGCCGGATTCGGGAGCTGATCCAGCTGAACTAATTCTACGCAAATAATTGTTAATTTTCAGACAAAGCTGCCTAATCCAGCTGATTGCCTGACCCACCAAGAGCTAATGCTGGTGCAAGGGGAGGCTGGGAACAGTAGCTGGAGCTGATGCGAGTTGACACTACGGCACTCTTCCTTTCTCCCGCTTGGTCAGGACAGTAGCGGCCCATGCACTTGCATCAACACCAGTGGTTATCTGATCACACAGTGAGCTAAACTAGGTAGAAACTGTTCCTTTTTTTTCTTTTTGTTTGTTAAATGCTGGATTAGTTTTCTGCTGACTCAGCCCTCTGAGGGCTCTAATTGTGGGATGAGCGTCAGGGACTATGCAAGAGAGAACGTGTTAATGCATGGTCAAGGACAAGCTCATGGGTGGGAGTGGGGGATTGCGGTGGCAGCAACTTTGATCTGCCTCAGCTATGTGTAAGCACAGCTTTAGAGAAGCACAGAAAAGTACTCGCTAGAGACTAATGACAGGCCAAATTCTGCACCCGCTAGGATCACTAGGAATGTTTCTGTTGGTTTAAATGGAAGTATTACCAGAGCCATGTACAGTGTCAAATTGACTTAGCTCACTGGAACGTAAGACAAAGTTGCTAAAAAAAAACCAAACAAGCAAACAAAAAAAAAGCTCAAAGCAGGCAGGCAAATACATGAGGGATGCAAACTCTTAGCCACAGACAGGAGAACGTGGAAGTTTTGATTCTCAATTTTTGTTTTTTTGTTTTGTTTGTTTTTCCTTTGCTGTTCTTCTACAGTTGGGATGTATGATCCCAGCAAAGCTTGGCTGGAGTATATCAGCGGCTGTTTCTCCCCATTGCCTGCTGCCCTGCTTCTGCCAAGAGTGACACTCTGGGAGCTCAGACCTAATGAGGAGCACAGTGTAAGCAAGCAGGCGGAAGGGAGGACAAGTTCATATCTGGTGCATTGATTGCTGCATGCTAGAGGCCTGGGTTCTGCTCCTGGTGCGCGTGTGTGTGATACTGTGCATGTGAGAGAGCTTTGTAACATCTCAGTTTCGTCCTCATCATAAAATGATGGTCTCAACACCATTACTTTCTGTGATTCTGGAGAGGTGGAAAAGTTGAGCACAAAAATTGTTTCCAGTCCCAAATACTCTGATCCTCTAAGGCAGCGTCCTATAAATCTAGTTACAGGTTCTGCTCTATTAGCTGTAAGTGCTGGAACACTGTTTTAATATAAGCAGTAGCAATGTAGAAGGATAAAACCAAAAAATGTGCTGCTGTGGCTTTGTACAGCCTAGAATAAAGGAGCAAATACAAATAACTAGTGCTTTTACAGGGTTGTATGCATAGGGCATAAATTACAGCTAATTAAACTTTATACCCTGCTTTTTTAAGATAAGCATTTAATTAGTATTACATCCACTTTATAATTAGGAAATCTCATGCAAAAAGATGTGGCTCATCAACCACACTTGAAGGCAGTGACTCGGCTAGAATTAGGCTGTGGCGTGACGATAGAGAAAATTGTGCTTTAGACCTTTAGCGGGGAAAAAGCAGCGGGTGGCAAGGGATTGCGTTAGTATCAGGTCACTATGCCTGGACACGTTCACTAGAAAACACAGATGGATTAACTGTAGCACCAGGCTTGTGCTGGGCCACATATTGTCGGTGTTACACGGGGTCTAAACTTTGTGCAGGACCACGTCTCTCTTCCCCAGTTTGCAAGTAAGCATCAAGCTGGCACCAGCTCCGCATCGTGTTTCACGGCTGACTGGACAGGAACGCCGTCCTGTCGCCGCGCTTGATCCCGAATACATTTGCTGCGTAGCTCGAGGATTCGTGCGTGCTGAACGGCAGCCTCGCGGCCTCCTCCTCGCCAGCTTGCGCAAGCTGGAATAGCTGAACTTCCAGGCTCCTAGGGAGGGGGAATTCCAGGCATCCAGGGATTACCAGCAAATGTGCCCGCTTGTCACCGGCCAGAGTGATGCTGCTGCAAGGGTGGGAAGCCACCGTTAGCGAGAGCGAGCTCGGGCTCGCCTGCGCGTGGATGAGCCATTCGCTGGTGTCCACGTTAACGGCTTCTGCTGCGCGCGGTTGGGGCCGGTGAGCAGGGCTCAGCGAAAACGAGGTGTCTGCAAAACCCCGTCTCCAGCTATGCCACAGCGCGCGGACTGTTTGAGGCCCGAACCTCCGGCTGCGATCAGCTC